GATTGTATCACTCTTTCTTACTATTATACTAGTTAGTCTTTATTATATATGACCAAATGATCTTAACTTATTCTCTCAATTTTATTTTATTTTTTTAATAGGTGCTATTCCTATCATTTTATGAATATATTTATATCTAATTTTATCTTTTAAAATCTGATCACACATCCATAATTCTAGTAAATGAAATAAAATCAAATACAATTTTTTCCACCACACATGAGAAAATTTTATCTTCAATATGTTCTTGTCTTCAATATGAACTTTTGGTCGTTCTTGTTCAAGTTCTGATTGTTTTTAATTCCAAATGTTAGGACCACTAATGGTTAAGAACTTCTATCACTGGTTGGAGTGGACTTCAAGGCCACATCAATTGAAAGCAATTTTTAAATTCCAACGCATACATATAATAAATGTATAAAAAATAGTGGAAATAGACTCTTTAACCATGTATGATTGTTTACCACAAATGTTTTCTTTACCATGCATAGAGGGTAATCAATTTGTCTAACATGAAGACTTGACTTTAATTGTCTTAGTTATAAATTTATTTTTTTTATTTTATTTTTTTTTTTGTGATAGGCACTGTGATAGTGTTAAAATTTTGAATTTTAAGAAAGATTTTTTAAGGAAGAATAAACAATAAAATAATAAAAGAAAAATAAATAAATGAAATATAAACCTCTTTCTTTTTTTTTTTCACTTTTTCTTTCCTTTCCTTTCTCTGGCAAATTTCTCCTTTTCAATGGAATACACTAGTCTAATACCAAAACTTGACTTTAGTTGTCCTATTTACAATTCATTTTCTCATGTTAAAGGCATTAGGGTGGTGCTAAAATTATGAATTTTAAGAGGGATTATCCAAAGAAGAACAAGCAATAGAAGGGGGAAAAAAATAATGAACTTTTTTTTTTTCTCTTGCAAATTTTTATTTTCTTTTTTTTTTATGAGAAAAAGGGAAGGAATCTTAATGAAAGGCACTTTTTTAGTATGAAGACTTGACTTAAGTTCTCATATTTGCTATTCATTTTTTCATGTGATAGGCACTGTGTTATTATTAAAAATATGAATTGTAAGCATGATTTATAGAGAAAAATAATGAATTATAAAAAGTAAGTAAAAATTTTTCTTTTCCACTTAAGCGTGTAATTGTTTATGACCAATGTTTTCTTACCATGCATAAAATGAAAGGACTTTTTTTTCTTGTTTTCTTTTATATATATATATATATATATATTTGGAAAAGATGAAGGAATCTTAATGAAATATACTTGTCCAATATGAAGAGTTGACTTTAGTTGCCCTATTTAGAGCATCTCCAATGCACTAGGCATATAATACTTGTTAGTTAAAATGCCTAGTGTGATTCACTTTTTTCAATTCCAATGCACTAGGCATATGATTAGGCATTTTGGCTCAACTCATATTCACTAGCTACATGTAGCTAGCCTTCAACGCTAGGCAAAATGTATTCAATCATTAGGATCATTTCCCTCCATCTTTGTTGTTGACGTGGCATTCTATAAAATTAATAGTATTTAGATAAATAGCTAAAATAAAGAGTATGGTTGGAGTAAAAACATAAAACAGTTGATAGGCAAAATAAAATATATACTTTAGAGTAATATTTAGATAGGTAAAATGCCTACTACCATTGGAGATGCTTTACAGTTCATTTTCTCATGTGATAGGCATTGTTGTAGTGTTAAAATTATGATTTTGCAAAGAATAATAAATAATAAAAGAAAAAAAATACAATGAAATATTTTATTTTTTTCACTTTTTTCTTTTTCTTTTCCTTTCTCTCTTAGCAAATTTTTCTTTTACTTTTTTCATAAAAAAAAGGGAAAGGAATCTTGACGAAATACACTTATCCAATATGAAGACTTGACTTTTGTTGTCTTATTTATGATTCATTTGCTCGTGTGACGGACATTGTAACGGTGTTAAAATTATGAATTTTAAGAAGATTTGCATAGAAATATAAATAATAAATGTTGCCTAGTAATTATCTATGTCTATGTAGATGTGGATGGATATACATACAATGGACAAATGTTTTTGAGGCCAACCAAACTTTCAATTACTTCTCAATCTTAATCTGTTGTGCTTAGAGGGCAAGAAAATAGTAACTAAATGTTCGAATTGAAGTTACTTATTCAAACCCAATCGATACTCATGTGGTTCAGTGAGATTCAATTGGCACTATTATTATCTATATCGGTAGCTAATTTTATGAATTCGACTCTCATGGGAAAAGACACTGTAATTAGTTGTCAAATTTGTCACATACTTTTAGATATATATTGTTGAATTTTCTTAGGGTAAATTACACTTTGCGCCATTGTACTTTGGACCAAATCTCACTTTAACCTCTACACATGAAATCATGGGTCCGTTTGGCAAGCAAGGTTGGGGCTAAAATAGCCACAAAAGATAAAATAGGCTATTTTAGTCACAACAAACAAAACATCACATCCAACTCATAATCATTATACTCTTCTCTCACAAAAAAAGTCAAAAAGCCAAAAAACTCTTTCCAAACCAAGCTTTTTAGCCCAGGCTAAAATAGTCAAAAAAGCCAAAAAGTCAAAAAACCAACCCACTTCCCAAACGGAGGCCATGATAGTTAATCCCCTGCACTTCTGGTCAAATCTCACTTTGGTCCCTACACATAAAAACGTGACAATCAACCCCCTACACTTTTACTAAAATCCCACTTTAGTTCCTATATAAGTGTCAATGTCCCTTTTCTATTATTTCATTTTTAAATTTTTAACAAAATCTAATCATGTGACAAAAATACGACTACGAAATGAGAGTAAAAGTTAAAAATCATACATGTTTCCCACCAATACACTTTGTCCTACATGATAAACACATAAAAGTTATATATATGTGTCTCTGTGTGTGTGTGTTGTATGTGTTTTCGTATAGTAAAAATTGGGATGAAAATGCAAGAAAGTAGAGCTTTTGAAATTTAAAAAAAAAAATGCGACAAAGAAATCAAAGAGAAAGAAAGATGAACAAACATGGAACTGTGTTACCGTAAAAACAAAGTTTCGTAATTCTAATTTATGCAAAACCCTAATTCATTTTTTTAATTGTTCACAATCTGCATTTTGTTTTAACCTAATACGGTCATATTTTGATGTAAATTTTGGGATAAAGTGTGTATTGCTGAAAAATATAGATAATTTTTCTTTCTTACCCTCTTGTCGTAGTCACATTCTTATCACATAACTAAATTCTGCTAAATATTTAAACAATTGAGTAACAGAAAGAGGATATTGACACTTGTGTAAGGATCAAAGTGAGATTTGACTAAAAGTACAGAAGGTTGACTATTACAATTTCACGTGCAGAAACCAAAGTGAGATTTGGTGCAAAATGTAATTTATCCATTTTCTTATAAAAATTGAAAATGTATGTCACATCTACCTTTATAGCTAAAATTCTAAACATAAATCTCGTGCACTTGGCTTTTCTCGTGCAAATTGTTTCTTACCCATTTAAAAAAGAACAAAAAAATTGTGATTATTAAAACTTAAAAGCTTCAACGCATGGCCTAATCCCACAACATTTAGATTTAAATATTATTTAGGCATCTCGCAAGAATAATTTGATGTATTTACTTTAAGTACTTGCAATGGCACGAATCTATTCAAATATAGATACCGTAAAAAACTAAAAAAAAGTCAAAACCAATGGATTTAAACTGATGGAACTGAATTAAAAAAAATAAATTAATTTAAAATTAAATCACTGAATCTATTTAACAAAGTTTTTAATTTTTGATATTGCAAAAAAACTATATTGCAAATATTAAAAAGTTATTAACCCACAACTAAAACAGTAGGGCAATGGAATTCACCACATACATCATATTTATATTAGTCATGCTTATTAATTCTTCATTTTTCTCTTCCCAATAAATTGGTGACAAAAAGATTATTTTTTATTTTCCAAATAAAAATTTAGAATTAAAAAATTTATTAAATCTAGCCAAATTTAATTTATATCTAATCTTAACAAATCATAAATTGAATCCAAACAAACACATTGAAATTTAATTATAATTTTTTTTAGTTAAAAATCGACAAAGTAAAGAAGAAAAATTTTATTTGATTAAAGCATATTATTTATTGAAAAAATTAAATCATATGAACAATTATAAATAATTAAGTAGGTAACTTCATCCTAACCTTATCAATCTATTTAGCTATAAGTTTAGCCCAACATACTCATATTTGAAAGAAACTTTCTTGGTTGAATTAAATAAATAATCCCCGTACAAAATCCTCTTCTCTCAATATTTGGAATACACTAAGGATATGTTTGGTCAATAAATTTGAATAAGAAAAGAAAATGAAAAAAGTGTATAAAATGTGTGTAAAATATAGTTTTATTTCATTCACATTTTATCTACCGTTTCCATTTTCAATTCCAAATCTCTCACTAAATCCTTAAACCAAATAGAGCATAAGGTTGTATTTAATTCATGAATTTAAGAAGAGATTTAGAAAATAAAAAATAAATGACAGATAAAATGTGAGTGAAATATTATATTTCGCCTGCATTCCACACTTTTTCCATTAAAAAAAAGGTCCATCAAAAGAGAAAGCTCAAGAAATCCATTTATACCCAACCGTATAAATCTATATAATTATGATTCTCTGAAATGATATTTAGTACAATAATTTTACAATAATGATTATGTTTTGAGGTTTAAACCATCATTGTAAGATTATTACTCAAAAAATTATTACAAAAAATCCTAATCTAAATCTGTGCTGTTCATTTTCCTTTTCAATTTCTTCTTATTTGTTCACAAAAGTCGGCAAACAAGTTGCTAAATCAACATGTCGCCTTATGCTCTGGTTTCAATGACACACTTTTAACTTTTCTTTGGTATCCAAACTTCATCCTTGTGAATTTCTCTTTCTTTGAAGCATTGTACAACAGTACAGGAATCTCCAAATTACTCTGTAAAAAATAAAATGCTTGCAGCTATTGGGTTGTGCTTATAGATATTTTAAATTAGTTATTTAAATTTTTTTAAAGTGCTAGTAGTGAAAAAGAGCAGAAAAATAGACTACAAAATGTCAAAAATGAAAAACAAGAACAGCATATAGTAGGATAGATGGCAAATACTCAAGAGGTCAAGCAGGCGATATCAAAAGAGTTGTCCTAAAGTTATCATGTGAAATTGATTTCACAAAGGCGGACTTTGATCATCTGATATCTTCATGGTTACATGATCATCTGATAGCTTCATGGCAACTTGTCTCATGCTTGGCCGAGACAATGGATTGGTTTGTAAACATGCAAATGATAGTTTCACAACCATAACTACTTGCTCTGCCACTTGATTCTTAGGAGGTAAGAGACGTTGATCCAACACATCCTTCAATAATATCCCATGCACAGTTGATGTTGATGAGGAGAAGGATGACAACGATGACAAAGAGGAGATTAGATCACCCAGATGCTTCCCCGTAATCAATTCCAGTGTGTGCACCCCAAAACTATAAACATCGCACCTCTCATTCACTTCCATTGTATAAGCAAGTTCTACCAAATCAAACAAATGACCAACAGAAGAAAATAGTAATTAAAAAATATATAAAAAAAATTGTTCCATATCCAGATAGCAATTAGAAGTTCGATAGCCTTTTTAATTCGAGTCAAATAAAAAACTCTTAATACACAAAGATTGATAAACTAAAATGGACATTATATGGATGACTTGGAGATAAAATCACTGCAACAGAAAAGTACATACCAGGAGCAGCAGCATACCCATAGGTCCGTGCAAATGAAGTCCAATTGGATGAGTCAAGCTTCATAAATCTAGCTGTGCCGAAATCTGAGATGTGAGCCACATACTCTAAATCAAGCAAGATATTCTTGCCTGATATGTCTCGATGGATGATTGGAGGTGAACAATCGTGGTGTATATAAGACAGAGCATTTGCCACACCTTTGGCAACATTCACTCTCTTAATCCAATCAAATTGTAATACTTGATCCTCTGTGCTCAATATATTTCCTGAGCTTCCCCCTTCCAAGAACTCATAAACCAAAAACGAGTGCCTCGGGTGTGAACAATAACCATAAAGTTTTACGATGTTTTGATGGCCAATCTCTGTTAATGCACGGATCTCACTCATAAAGCTTTGTAGATTAGTCAAGTCACCATCGGGTGATTCATGAAGTTTCTTCACAGCATCTACCTGACCACTTGGAAGGTCAGCTCTATAAACAGTACCACATCCTCCCTCCCCAACACAATGCTTGGTACTGAAGTTCTCAGTCGTTTCAATGATGTTTTCATACACCATTTTCCCATCATAGCTCCAAATTGCAAACAAATTTTGATTATGTACTTGTCTTGGTTCATCTATTGTGTTCCTCACTTTCTTATGAAAAGCCATAAAAATTTCTGAGAACCATTAGAAAAAGCAATAAAAATCCAAAAATAAGGACAACTAGCAACACAACTTTGTTTGTCCTTTTTTAACCAATCTCATTGTTCATTTTAGGCAAGCAAGTCTTCAAACCAGTAGCATTACCACATAAACCTTTATTACCTCTGAGCGCCTCAAATGGAGCCTCTAGGAAAGCTTTCATGTTAGGAATAGGACCCTTCAACTGATTGAAAGATACATCTACCGATGTCAAACTTAACATATTATCAAAAGATAATGGAATGGAACCAGTGAGCTCATTATGGGAGAGATTCAATGTTTCTAAGCTTTGTAATTCACCAATCTGTTGTGGTATCTTACCTATTAGCAAATTGTAACCAAGATCAAGCCTTTGAAGGCCTTGTAAATGGCCTATCTCTAAAGGAATGTTTTTCCCAATTCTGTTGTTGCTCAAATTCAAGCTTAATAGTTTCAAGCATTCCCCCAGTTCTATAGGGATCGGACCACTTAGATTATTTGCTGCCAAGTTAAGATTCTCCAGATTGGAAAGCTTGCCAAACACTTGAGGAATGTTGCCCGAGAGTTTGTTATCATTCAGCTTAAGGTCAAACAATGAAACCAACCTTCCCAATTTTGTTGGTATCTCTCCAACTAGATGATTTGAAGAGAGGTCAAGTTTCTGTAGCTGAGCTGCCTCGACCAATTCAAGCGGTATCTCACCAGAAATATTATTGTTAGACATTTTGAGGCTAGTTAAATTATGACACTTCCCCATTTTTGAGATAGCTTGCCATAGAAATTGTTATGACTCAAATCAATGTAAATCAAGTTTGGGTACAAGCCAAAATCTTCTGATATATTTCCTGAAAATTGGTTTCCATCAAGCCTAACTCTGTATAAGCTATGGAATTTTTCAAACTTTTTGGGATGGGACCTGTGAGATTGTTGGTGTTTGCACTCAATGCAAGTAATCCACCATCAAAAATGGTTAATGAACCAAAAGCTGGGAGTCATGATTTTTCAGTGCCATGTAGACCCAATTAATATTCTAGGCTATGGGTGTTGATTGGGCGTCACACTACTATGGCCTACACCTATTTTGCTGCTATATGATAGAATGATTAACTCCATCATTGAGGTAGTGACCTTAGGCAAATAGATGGGTGTTATGCAATAAGTACATATACTGAATAGGATTGGTTTTGAGAATACCAATGAAATGATCAGTGTCAGTTTAAAAGGTAGTTCTATTACAATGTACTTATTTTCCTTTGACTTGTGAGGCTTGTATAAACTAATTAACTATTCATTTAACTTTAATATTGTCAATCGGTGACGCCAAACCAAAGGTTGTACACGGATATGTTAGGTTATGTGAGTGGTAATTGATTTATATAGAAGCTTAACATAGAATCCACCATTCTCAAA